TTTTTAATACATACGTAAATAAGTTGACATTTATGTATTGTATATCAATATTTATTCTATATTTTCATTGCCCATTCTTTTTTCCTTATTCCCAACCCACTTCCTATGAGTAACCCTTTCTGCTAGTTTCTTGGTTTCTTGTTTATACCTTCTGCATACACACACACACACACACACACACACACACACACACACACACAAGTATGTGTACGCATGGAAGCCTTGTAAGCAATGAAAATACCTAACAAACTTTCCCTCTAAATACCATTCTTACCTAAAAGGAACACAAATACCCAAATTGCTTCAAATAATGCCCGATTCCAGGGCCAGGGCCAGGAAATAGAAAGATGATCTGGGAAAGTTTTGCTGACCCTGCAAGGAAGGAAATGGTCAACAAATTATGGGGACACAGGAGCCTGCTCAAAGGGACCCACAAATGCTTAATCTTAAATAAATTGGGTTTCAAAAAGAATAACAACAGACAAACAAACACACAGAAAAACAGGATCAATTCTTGGTTACTAGAGGGTAGGGGGAGAGCAGGGCAAAAGAGGGAAAGGAGCACATATGTATGGTGATGCATGAAATCAGACTATTGGTGGTGATCATGATGCAGTTAACACATAATCTGAAATATAGTAATGTACACCTGAAATTTATACAATGTTATAAACCTATTTGACCTCAATAAAATCATTAACGAAAAGAATCACAACCCTAAAGGATTATGACTCAGATATTAAAAGGGAATCTGTGAAACCATAATGATATAAATAAATTAATAAAACAAGTAAATGGTAAAGAAGGGAAATTTCTCTCTTACAGAGAACTGTTACATGTAGAATGATTGATGGAATGAGAAAAATCACCTTTTGGCAATCACAATTACAATGATTGTTTCAGGCAAGAATCACTTGATTCTTATTAAGTGTGATGTTATATATAGTGGTTGAAATTTTAAAGAGGAATGGTGTGTATATATAACTGCAAAATATCTTCCCAAGCTATCTTTATTAGTTTCAAAAATAAAAATAGTACCTTTATAGTAGAGAAAGCTGGTAGGCACCACCTTAATTAATTGACCAAGATTAAAACCCCAAGTAATTGGAAAAATTGGTATCAGCTGCCTTCTGATAAGGTGCACTGTGGTGTACCTGCCAAAAATCTATGGCTGAATCTGAGATAGATGCCTACCTACATAATAATAAGGGAAACATGCTTAAATGTTCATTTTAGGGGGATCTGGATGAAACGTATATGAGATTTTTTTGGTATAATTTTTTACTTTTCTATAAGTCTTAAATGATTTCAAAATAAAAAGTTAAAAAAATCCTTTGTCCATAATTACTCAATAAGAGAGAATAGAATATCCTACATATCTTTCTCTAAATTTAAAATTGGCATCAGGCAGACAATTGGGATCTTCCAAAATATTCTCCTTGTAGCCCCTGTCAGAGACAGAATATGAACTGCTGAGCCATGGGCAAGGCACAGGAAAGTAATTCTATAAAATCTTAGCCCTGATCTTTAAGAGTTATAGTCTCTATAATGAAACTGTAGAGGCAAATTGACACCAAGAAAAGGAGCATGTCTGTAGAACAAAATGTATCGGCATATTTGCCATCCACAAATTGGCTCACAAATGTGTCACTAGAAAACGTTATCTATACCAATGAGCGCTAGATAGTCTCCGTTTGCCCCTCCAGTCCATTCTCCAGCCTTCTCTAGGCTGTTATCTCCCAGAGTCTGATCTTTATGGACTGCACCAACTGGGCTCCCTGGTTCTTTGGATTTGGCCAACGGAAACACAAGCAAGAGGTTGAAAGGCAGAAGAAGAGAGAGGTTGGGGCATTTATTCTCCTGTTTTCCTCCCTACAGCACCATGGGTTGACAGTCTCTGTCTGAAGTTCATGTCCAGAGGTCCTCTCCAACCCTTACATGTCTCACCAGTAAACCACTTCCTCCCCTTGCACCTGTTTCGCATTGCTGCTGGCCCTGGGTACCTCACTATCCCTTAGTAGTTTCCCTTAAACTGGCCAAGACCTTTGTAAATAAGCCATTATTACATCTCTTTAAAAAAAATCCTTCATCCAAGCTGGAATCATGCCAATGAAAAGGGTATACATAGCATCAGAGACTCCATCCCCTCAGACTCCAGTCCCCCCGTGTCCTGGACATGAAGCTCCCCAAAGGGCAGCAAGAACTTGGCTAATTAGCCTAATGTGACTCCTCCATGACCCAGAAGCCTGGGACCATTGTTTCTGTCCTCTTGCTGGTAATTAAAACATTATCTTTTTGCTCATTGCTCTAGAGTTGGTTAAGGAACTTGAAAATCTGTAGAAGTTCTAAGGCCACAGATATATCTTCTATCTGTCTGGTTACTGACTCTCCTGAAGAGAAGCTGAGGATTTGGGCAACAATCTGAGGAAGAATGATTCCGAGGTCACCAACAATGAGCACAGATCAGAGGAAGCTGTAAATCTGAACTTGGGATGGACCTGGTGTGTGCTTGTGGGTTTGTGTATGAGTATCTCTGTGTTCATGGGTGTGTGTGTGTGTGTGCGCGCTTGTTTTCCTCTTGTTTGAGTGTTACACCATGGATATGTGCTATGAATCTGACTCACAGCCTGTTTCTTTACCTGAGTTAGACTCAATATGGGCTCTGTTTTAGTGCGTGTAGGCCAAGTTATCAACCTCCTAACATGTGAGTTAGGGACTCCTGATTCATGCCTGTGATCTTAAATATTTGTCTTCTGTTGATATTATGCGACATTTCCCACCCTGGGCAGGAATCACGGCTGAGCAGAGGAGAGCTCAGGATTAGGAATGAGATTGTTGTCTCCGCTCCTGGAGAAGAAGATGCCTTACCTCATCAAAAAACCCAGGTTAGAAAGAGCTGAAATCTCTGCTCAGAAGTGTGTTAGTGTATGTGCAACCTCTGTTTGTGGATGGCACACTCATATGTGTCTTGTTTCTTTTCTCTATGTATATGTTACCATGTGTATGTTACTACGTGCGTGAGTTGGTGATGGTTTAATGATGTGCCTTTTTGATAGGCTTCACTGCCCCATGCTGACCCCCTTCCCGGGGAAGCATGTAGTCAGAAGGACCTGAAGCATGCTTCTTAGTAATGGGAGTGTGTGTGCTGCTTGTTGTGGTGTGTGGCTGCGTATGAATGTGTGTTTCCTGTGAGATTTTTGTGTTGTGTGTGGTCTTGTGTGTTTTTGGTGATATGTGTGTATAGTGATGAGTTATGTATATGTTGTGAGTTGAATATGTGTCAAGTGACCAGGTGTGTCATGTGTCAGGTGTGTTGATGTGCATTATGAGTGTGTTTGTGGGTGAATGGTACAAGATTTTGTGTTGTGTGTCTTGCTTTCTTTATGATTTGTATGTATGACTGAGTTATTTATGACTGGTATGTATGTATATGCGTGTTGGTAAACTGAAATACACATCAGATATCCTTCCCTTAGGATGAGAACAGGTCATGGGTGACTTGAATTCCCCCATCAGCAGTGTGTTTGTGTGTGTGTATGTATGATTTTTACGTGATTTGGGGGCTTATTTCCCCAAATGACTCAAATATTTCCTTCAGTATCTTCTTCTGGAGCACTGTTGACTGAGATAACCAAAGCTCCAAACTCTCTGTTTCTGAAATGGATCTGCTATGATTTTCATATACCTGACAGTAACTGAGTCACTCAGAGTGTTTTAACTCCACTTAATATCCCAGGCAAAGACAAATTAGCATCATGATGCATGAAGTTAGAGTGCAGAACCCCCACCAAATGGCAATGAGAATTTGGGAAAATCACTTAACTTCTTGGTCTCAGTTTTTAATCTATATAATGGAAGGAAGTAAACTTAAATGACAATCAATGTGAGAATCTTTTGTCAAGTGGAAAATAGATCAATATAAATGAAAGGAAATAGCTAGGCGGGGAATGAAGATCTTCAACTATTTTGGCTTCACGGAAGCTGTAAATCAACAGAGGGTGTCTGGCACTCCTAACCAAAAATACCAGAAGTTTCCATATGTAATGGTTGAGAGCGTGGGATCTGATCACACAAACATATTAGCTAGAACTGCACAAAGTAGTCAATATGTTATCCTTTTTAGCCTACAGAAAATGACAATGTTATATACACACATATATATGTATGATTTATGTCATTTCTGTTTCTATTTTCAAAGAGCTAAAATAGGTGAAAAAACATTCATTCTTAGTGCAGCTGGGAGGACTTTTTATTTTTTTTTAATCTGAGAATGTAAGGCTGATGTGTGGATTTAATTAGGAGTTATAGGTAAAGTTCTTAGCCTAGTTCCAAGTGTTCACCAAAACATTCACCATTCTTACAAAAGATAGCTTGTGGACTATTCTGGTTTCGGAGGTATTCCAGCATCAAGTGCCTTTAAATGACCACCCACTTCTCGAGTGACCATGAATTTACTGCCATAGGTCAATGGGACCTGGTCAGATTCATAAGATGAGTGTGATAACACTCCAACGACACTGCCTCAGCCCTGGGGTCTCACGTTACTTTAAGGCAGAAACAACTGATACCAGTTTGCTGAGGCTCATCTATTTCTGCCACAGTGAATTATTATGATTTGGCTCTGTCTTGGTGTAGTGAATTATCCCTCTATGCTCATCAAGTTCTACACTCACAGAGGGAAAGAACTCTGTCTTTCTTGTTCACTGCTGAAATTTTAGTCCTTAGTAGGAGTTCATTTCAATAAATAATGGTTGAATAAAATCATGAACACTCTCTTGCTTCTGTACAATGTGGTCTCATAGCCTACTGTTGGATGTGATGGTTTACAGGAGTCAGACTGGGATAGCATGAAGATGCACACATCCACAAGTATGGGAAATTAATGAGTCTATTTAAAAATTCATTGTTTTCCCATAGAATTACAGTATGAGATGTGATGGACCTGATAATATTTTCTAAATCCCTGATATTCCCAAACATCCTTCATCCACAGCATACAGAAGGGCACTATGAGGCCTGAGAACAAGAGCAGCGTGTCTGAGTTCCTCCTCCTTGGGCTCCCCTTCTCACTGGAGTATCAGGGCTTGTGCTTCACCTTGTTCTTGGGAATGCACCTGACCACAGTGCTGGGGAATCTGCTCATCATCTTGCTCATCAGGCTGGACTCTCACCTCCACACTCCCATGTACTTCTTCCTCAGCCACTTGGCCTTCTCTGACATTTCCCTTTCATCTGTCGTGGTTCCAAAGATGCTCATGAACATGCAGACTCAGCAACAATCCATCTCCTATGTGGGGTGCATATCTCAGATGTGTTTTTTCTTAGTTTTTGCTTGTCTTGACAATTTCCTTCTTGCAGTGATGGCATATGACAGGTATGTGGCCATCTGTCAGCCACTCCACTACACTACTGTTATGAGTCAGGGGCTGTATGTCTCCTTAGTAGCTGGATCCTGGTTATTCTGTTGTGCACATGCTCTGTTGCACACCCTTCTCTTGGTCCGACTGTCCTTTTGTGCTGACAATACCATCCCAAATTTCTACTGTGACCTCACTGTGCTCCTGAAGATGAGCTGCTCAGACATCTCCCTCAATGAGCTGGTCATCTTCACTGAAGGAGGAATGCTTTTCTTTTTGCCTTTGAGTAGCATCTTGGGGTCATACATCCGGATAGGCTCCACTGTCTTGAGGGTCCCATCCATCAAGAGATTCTTTAAAGTTTTTTCTACCTGTGGCTCCCATCTCTTTGTGGTGTCTTTATACTATGGGACACTTGCAGGTGTTTACTTTTTCTCCTCATCATGGGGGTCCAATGACAAAGACATAATTGCTTCAGTCATGTATGTGGTAGTTACCCCCATGCTGAACCCCTTTATCTATAGCCTGAGGAACAGAGATATAAAACAGGCCCTAGAAATATTTATCAATAGGGCTAACTTCTTTAAGTGACAATCACTAAATCCTCTTATTGAAGTCATGAGTACAGTGAAATATATCTTCCAAAAAATATTGTATGGTTGACAACTCTATATAGCTTTAAAAGAATATGCATTCTGCTGTCATGCCGATTGCTGTTAACACATTAACTGGGTCAAGTTTGCTATTTGGATTGCTAAATATTCTTTATTCCTAATTAAATTTTTCTGCTTATTTATCATCTCTTATAAGATATGTACAAAATCTTATGCAAAACAATGAACACAATTATAATTGTGGATTTGTGTTTTTCTCCTTTTAAATATATCACTTTTTGTTTTATATTCTTTATGCCATGTTCTTGAAGAGACACAGAATTAGAATTTCAATCTGTTCCTGGTGGACTGATTCTTTTACTTAGTAATGTGATGAAATTGGCTCACATTGGTTTCAAGCTGATTGTCCACATTTCTTTGTGACTCCAAAAACAGTGACATCATGTTGGGAGATTGAAATCAGTCATAATGGGAACAATGACTCTATGGAAATTAGAAAACACTACAATTCAAGACTTTCTAAAAAAGAGAGAATAATTTTTTATGCATTTAATAGCACACCACTTCATTTATAATTAAGAGATATTCTTCTTTATCTCTGCAATGGCTTCTACCTTATAAACTCATCTACTTTTCCTGATATTCATATAGATATACCTGCTTTCTTTTGGTTAGTCTTTTCACAGCCTTCTTTTCCATTATTTTATTTTAAACTTTTCTATATCCTTATACCTGTGAGGTGTCCGCTGTTAACAGTGTAAAGCTATATTTTTCTCTTTTTATGCAAATCATCAATCATTATATTTCTGGAGAATTTGTTCTGTTAACATCTAATGTCATCATGATATATTTTAATTTATATTTTCCATATTACTTTATCTTTTCTGTTTGAGACCTCTGTTTCATATTTCTTTTCTCTTCTCTTTCTCCCTTTTTATTATTTAAGAATATATTTTGTTATTGCATTCCCCTTCTAACTTATTAATCAGACATTATTATTATTTTATAATTCTCTTCTATGCTTTATGTTGAGATTACTTCTTACTTTCTCTTTAAAATATTTTCCTTGTAGTATAATATACATAACATGAGTTTACAATTTTAACCATTTGAGGTATTCAGTGCAGTGGTTCATAGTACATTCATCATCACAATCTCATTCTAGGACTACGAAAACAAACACTATGGAACTTCAAGGCCATTGAGTACTTTGCAGCTGTGAAAAAATAATGGCAAAGATGTCTATGTTCAATACAGAGGCATTTCTAAGATATATTGTTAAATGGAAAAAAAACCAACTTGTAAAAAGACTATGTATAATATGCTAATTTTTGTAACAAAGTGAAGGGGAATAAAATAGACATATATCTTCCCTTTTGAGTGAAAAGAAACTCAAGAAGAATGAATCACAAACTAATGAGATTGCTTAAGTATAGTAGGTAGGTGGGAATGGGGTGGAAAAGATGGAGAAATGAGTATATTTATTAGTAGAGTTTTGACTGTATTATCTTTTACCTACTAAAAATAAATAGAAGATGAGGAATAAAAAAAGAACAAAAAACACACAAATGAATCTAACTATATTTCAAATTACTACCATAATTAGACAAAAGGTGAAGAGAACATAAGTAACTTAAGAAACTATTGAATACAGAATTTTGTCTATCTACTCCCACAATAAAGAAAAACTGTAAACAAAGTTTTTGAATTGCAGTTAGTTTGTCATTAACAGTGGTATGATTTCAAGATTCTGAAATTACTTAACATATATTCAAAGATTCAGCAAATAAGTAAACACATTGTAGAAACACATTGTAGAAAAGAGAATGACTGCTCACTATCGAGATGTTGATGTAAATATTCAATAACGACTCTATATTAAAAAAAAAGAAGAAGAGTTTTATTTGAGACAAACTGAGGACCTGATAAACACAATAGAGGACATTTATTTTAATGAAACATGAAAGCCCTCCTTTTTTCGTAGACTACTCAAAGGTAAAAAGAAAAAAGTCCCGTAATATCTTCATCAAGGGCAGTCTAAAAGTCTAAGAAATTACCCCTTTAAGAGAAAGAAAACAAAATTCTAATTTTTGCACCAGCTTACTTTTTATATTGAAACTCATTTACTTAATTAAGTTTATTTCAATCTTTGCCAACCTGACCATGCAGAAAATTCTTTCCTTGGAATTTATATTCCACAAATATTCTTAAACTTTCCTTTTTACATTCAGAATTTGTTCCATGCCTTCCCTCCATCCTAGTAATTTGGACATTTACTTTCTTAACAAAATAAACAAACAAAGATATCTCCACTCCTCATATCTTCTTTACTGAAAACATGCATCTTCCTCTCCTTGTATTCAGAGATATTTCCCTTATTCTTTACTTGAACTTTCTATGGATTGGCAGAGTTATATATACTGTCTTGAAATATGTGATTTCTCATGGAAAATTTTTCAGCATGCCACAAAAGTTGTTTATTAACAAAAACGTTATTTTTTCCAGTTTCTCTGTAATAAGAAGCCAAAGATAGATAAATCTATATTCAGTAATTAATGTCTAATATTTTTATCATAGTGGAAATTACCTATTTACCTAATAAATTTCTACCATTTAACTTAATTTAGCAATAGTCTAAATTTTCAAGTTAGCAAAAGATTTTGAAGCCATTTTTAAGTACATGTACCATAACATACAATTGTTTTTTAAAGTTTTACATAAAACCTTTTATCTTCCTCACATCTATTTAGTTTATTTGTTCTCAATAGTTATGTTTAGATTGCCTACAAAAACTTCATGACACATATAACAAAATAATCTATCAGTTTAAGTTATTTTTGCTAACAAATTTTGTAACAGACATAACATGAGCTTATTTGACTAATATGCGTAGCATGAAGACTGCATATATGCATTTTATCCAATGCTGATAACTCTGAAGATATGTTTATTTCAACCGAAACAAGCAACTTAAATAAGCTTTCACTTACCATATATTATTTTATATCATGTTAACTTGAAAAACCTTTGCGTTAGTTTCTATTGCATTTAGAAATAATTTACATAAGCACTACTCTAAGCCAATTAAATAGAGCTCTTTTAGAAACTATATCATCAGAGGTTGAAAAATTCACATGTGTTTATGGCACACATATATAGACATACATAGCTATATAGACACAAGCAGAGATCTTAAATAGCTTTTGTTAAATTTTTGCTATGAATCAGGTACCATACAAAACTCCCTAATTTATAAAAGAATAGTTGGATCCAAATTGTGTTTCTGGCAGATGGAATAAATTTAGGTTATCTCCTTAGAAATCAGTGATAGTCTAGATAACAGTTCACAGAGAGGTTAGAAGCTTTTTGAGATAAATGTGAGTGGAGAGTTGGGGTTGGTGAAAGGGAATGGATGGTGTCTGAAGTGCCTCTACAGCTGCATTACCAGTTTTGCAAAGATTCGTAAGATGAATACAGTTGCTATCAATTCCTCAGAAATTGTCTTGTAAGTTAAATGACATAAGAGATTGATCTAATTGCCAAACTACATTGTCTTTAATTTGCTTCTTTCTCTCTGGGGACACAGTTTTATTTTAACTTAGCCTATAAAAAGAGTAAGTTGCTAAACCATTTCAAATATCTTGTCAGTTTTCAGCCAGGACAAACAGTAAATATTTCTGGTGGTATTAAACAACTCCATTAATTTTTTAACTTTAGTTTTTCCTTGACTATTTAAGGCAATAATGTAGCAGTTTCTCAGAAAAATCTCTCAGCATCTCATCAACTCTGTTAGGGGCTCATATGGGACCTTATTTTACAGGTAGCTATGGGGGTGTTTGTTAAGTCATTAACTTAACAGACTTTTGCATAGTCCTTTCTTTTAGTTACCTTTTATATCTTAATTTTTTATTATTTTTTTTGCCAGGAAACTGTCAATAAGGCTATTTTGGAATTTTGAAGCCTTTAGTTTTAGGTGCACTTCTTACATGATCTTATATAATTGGACTGTTCCTTCTAAGGGCCAATGTAATTCCCCTGAGTCCAATGGAAGTTTGGTAGGATCCTAGTCACTAATGGAATCAACACACATTTGTGTCCAATCATATCTGAAAGCAAATGGACTGCCGTTTGCATTTCTGTCCAATCATATTTTGAGGCCCCCAACCTGTTGGTTACCAACCCAAGCTCTCAGGACACAAAGCACGCTTAATATAATTTTGGAGTTATTTGTAAATATTTAAAGCTTCTGGAACCATTAGTTTCTGAGTTAGTGTGCCAGAAGGTGGCATGCTTGACTCTTTAGAGATTACAGTTTGCGTTTAATCTGTTCCAGGGTTCTCAAATCTAGTGCACAAAAGACAAGTTTGGGAACCCTAAAAGAGCCCCAAATTGGCCACTAGAATTTTAAATTACCCCTGGTTTTCTTGATCCAAAGATTCATCCACTTACAGCTATCCTCTTCATATTTCTTAAACACATATCCAATAGCTTGAAAGTAGGCATTTCTCCCAAAGAGGACTTAGAATTGGTGTTCCCCATTTTGACCATCTAAGATTTAAATTATCTTTTGTCAATTTTTCTCATTTTGTTAAGTACTTGCAAGTAAAGGCTCTGTACGTACCTTACATAAATTAGCCAGAGATGCAGTGGGTAGCTGCCCATCTGGAAGCTGGTCAGCTTTAAGTGTGGTTTCCCATTTTCTTTTAGTTTCATTTTAATGTAAAATATGAACAATTCCTAAGGGAAGTGTAGTGGGTCAAAAGTGTGCTGCTTGTGAGTGTCACTTCCTAAAAGGTTGTGAACAGTCTTATATGACTGAGTTTCTCCTGCCAGCCATCCAGAATAACCATGAGGGCTCAGAGCACTGGATGATGAATCCATGTACGTTTCCTTAGATGAGCCATCAGTTAATTATTTGATGTAAACAATCACGATGGAGTTCCCAATGAGACTGCTGCACATCACGAGCATTGTTTG